CAGCAAAACCTCCAGGACTGATATAAATAGTAGGGGGGATAGGGGGCACCCCTGACGTGTTCCTTTTTCAATATGGAACTCCTCTGTCACCACATTGTTCACTATCAACTTAGCTTTTTGTTCTGAATAAATTGCTTCTATACCATTTTCAAACCCTCGTCCCACTCCCATCCCTTCCAAGTTTTTCTTCATAAATTTCCAAGAAATATTGTCAAAGGCCTTCTCAGCGTCAATAAAGATTAGCACTGCTTTAGTGTTAATATTTGTTTGTAAAAGTTCCAGAATATCGATAATATTCCGAGTATTATCAAACAAATGCCTGCCAGGAAGAAAGCCTGCTTGGTCCTTATGAATTACTTCATTTAAAACCTTTTTCAATCTACTTGCCAAAATGTCTGCAAATATTTTGTAATCCACATTTAGGAGTGAGATGGGACGGTAGTTCCTAAGTTGGGTCTTTTCAGTTTCCACTTTGGGTATCAATGTGATGAAAGCTTCTTTCCACGTTTCCGGTGCCCTTCCTCCCCCCATAATCTGGTTGCAAACCTCCATTAATGGTAAAGTCAAATGGTCTTTTAATATCTTATAATATTTGGAGGTAAGTCCATCTGGGCCTGGGGATTTGCCCAGCTGCATATTCTGAATGGCATCCTCAATTTCCTGTTGTGTTATTTTGCAGTCCAAAATTGATCTCTTCTCCTGAGACAATTCTGGTAGGCCATTGAGTTTCAAGAATCGTTCAATCTCAGACACATCCTCGGGCCCTTGTGTATACAACTTTTTGAAGTATTTCTGGAAACACTTTCTAATTTCACCTGGTTTCTGGATATTTTTCCCTTCCACCTCTAGATTGGTAACGTAGTTTAATTTCTGTCTTTTCTTCAACTGCCATGCCAGCAGTTTCCCACATTTGTTTGCTGACTCAAAAGATCTTTGTCTCATTTGTTTAATTTTCCATTCCACTTCTTGGTTTATCAATTTCAAATATTGTGCCTGATGGAATTTAATTTCTCGCAAGATCTCTTTAGATTTTGGTTTAGATCTTAACCTTTTCTCTCCGTCACTTATCTTCTCTAATATTTTATCCTTCTTCCCATTCCAGAGTTTCTTCTTAATTGTATTTTGTTGTATCAGAAACCCCCTCATTACAGCTTTACTGGCGTCCCAGATTGTTCTTTTTTCCACTGAAGTGTTCAAGTTGATTTCAAAATAGTCCTTTAAAGTTTTTTGGGCCTTCTTTACGATCTCTTGATCTCTAAAGAGGGTGTCATTCATTTTCCATCTAAAGGAACCGGCTGGAGTAAGTCTCAATTCCATTTTCAGGGCGTTGTGGTCGGAGCAAGTCTTTGGGCAGATTTCCACTCTTGTAGTCTTCGTTGCCAGCCCTCTAGTTGTCCAAATTTGGTCGATTCTCGTCCATGATGAGTGGGCCTCAGAAAAGAAAGTTCCCTCTCTACCTAGGGGGTTCCTTGCCCGCCAAATGTCAATCAAGTCCACATTGTCTGTCAGTTCAAAAAAAGTTTTCGGTAGTCTGCCGTCCTTAGTTATTTGGTTTTGTGACTTATCCATCAAAGTGGAGACCACCCCATTCATGTCTCCCATCATAATGATGTTTGAATAGTCCAGATAGTCCAGTAGTGTCTCATGTAGCTTCTTGTAAAATTCTGCTTTCCCCTCATTTGGTGCATAGATTCCTAATATCAAAACTTTTTCTCCTTGAGATTGTATTTCAATTGCCAAGATTCTCCCTTGCTCATCTTTAAACAAAAGTTTCGGTGCTAGGTTCTCCTTAGCGTAAATCACCAGGCCTCTCTTTTTTACTTTGTCTGATGAAATAAATTCTTGGCCTAGTCTTTTGTTGATTAGTACCTTCCTATGGAGCCTAGTCACGTGGGTTTCTTGCAAGCAAATTATATCCAAATTTTCTTTTTTCAAAATATGAAAGATCTTTTTTCGTTTTTCCGGGGAATTTACGCCATTAATGTTCCAGCTATACAGCTGCAGAGACATCCTGTATCGATCTGTTGTTGCTCTTTATGGGGTGTCCTCCTTTTTGTCCGAATCCGAGGGAGGAGATGGTGTTGGTTCCAGTCCAGGCTGTGGCAGAGGCCAAGGGACTGCTGTTCCCTTCTGAAGATCTTCTCCGTTGTCGTGCAGGAACTTCTGGTTGTCCTCTTTAGACTTAATTCTAACCTTCTTTCCTTTGTATTTAAATGATAGACCTTGTGGGAACTCCCACCTGTAAGGTATTCCGTTGCCTCTCAAAAGTCTTGCTAGGTCAGTATAGATGGCTCTGAGATCCAGTAGCTGTTTTGGTATGTCCTTATAGATTTCCGCTCTTCTATCCTGGATCTCCAGTGATTTGTTAAAATGAAGGTCAAGTATTTTGTCTCTCTCCTGTTTAGTCTTTAGGATGATCAGGCAGTCTCTAGGTCTGTCCTTTCTGGTAACACTTCCCAGTCTAAATGCCGTTGTTATTTTAAAGTCTTCGTCTTCCTTTATTCCCCAAAATTTGGAGAATTCTGCTGTCAAGAAACCAATCAAATCTTCTTTTTCAATCTCTGGGATAGAGCGTAATCTTAAATTATTTTCCCTATTTCTCAATTCCACCATAGACAGGTAGGCCTGCTGGTCACTGATGTGCTTGTGTAGTGGCCTTACCTCTCCTTTCAATTCATCCACTTTTTGAATTGCTCGGTCAGCTTTTTCGTTCGCGGCTTCGGCCAATTTCCGATTCTCAGAAGTAACGTCTTTTAGATTCCCAATTTCTTGTGAGTGCTGTGCCACTTGTTCCGATAGCTTTGTGATAGAGGATGTGGCTAAGTCAATTTTTGCTGTTTGGTCATCAACCTTCTTATTTAAAATCGCAAATTGTTGAAGCATCTCCTTCATAAGTATGTCAGATCCACCTGCAGCCATATCCTCTGTTGCTGGTTGTTCAGCTTCCTTAAGTTCAGCTGTTGTTGAAGGTTCAGTTCCCTTCAATTCAGCTACTGTTGGAAGTTCAATTCCCTTCAGTACAGCGGGGACTGATGATCTACGTGTCTGAGAAGTCAGAGTTGTTTGCACAAGCTGGCCTTTTGTTGCTTTCGCTTTTGCAGATCTTGTTTTCGGATGGCCACTCATTCCCCACCTGTCTATGAGTCAAGGTCAAACTGTCAAAAGTTCCATGGGAAGGACAGACCTCAGTGTAGATAACAACAGTGGAGAGACAAAACAAAGTTAGTTCCCAAGGAGTTGTAAATCCCAGTCTCCACTAGAGGGAGTGCAGTTGGAGGGAGTAAAGTTGGAGTTCAGGAAAGAAGGAAAAAAGTTTTGGTCGCCATTAAAGTTCCTGCAACTTTCAAATAGTCCTTAAAACTTTTTCCACTGGCAGAGCCCTTCCAAGATTGTCACAAGTATCACCTCTCAAGGTGCAGGATACAGTTACATAGTTATCTAGTCCAAAGTTGCCTCTATGTATCTGTTTCAGTTTTATAAATTGTATCCACAAAAGAGATTCTTTTCCCCCTGCCACCCCGAGGCTGGGTCTTGAACTTTAAATTCCACCAAAGGAGAAGGTTCCCAAATTGCTTCCTCGCTGTAGAATAAATTAATAAAAAAACTTGCCTTTCATTTCAAGCCTCAGTACTCTCAGACGCATAATGCTTCCACTTTAAAATCCTTTTTCCCTGCGTCCAGCCTGTCAGTTCCTTTGCCTTTGATCTATAAGCTTTGCCGGAAGACGGACTTCCTGTTTCTCGTCACTCCGCTTTGAGCCAAATTTAGAATCTTGAATTTCTTAAGAATCTTAAGGTTGTAAAGTCCCAATTACTCACGGGTTGTTGTTTTCCGAAATTGAAGGTTTCAGGAAGAAAGGTCAGCGCTGATCGGCAACAGCAGCGCGGCTTCGCTCCGCTGACTGCGAGACGACCCTCAGTACCGCTACCCCCTCCGCGATCCGGAGCCCCGTTACGGGGTCCCTTCAACGTTTCAGGGGCTGCTTCTGGCACCCGCCGGGTCCCGGGACCACAGGCTCCAACTCTTCTTCTGATTCCATAGAGGTGCCCACTAAGATAAGGGAAGAGATGCTCTTCAACACTTCTTCCCACTGCCACCCCCTTCACATTTTACATTATTAGGGAAGTCCATCTCTCCCCACCCCACCACCCTACCTTCGGTGACTGCCAAATAGCTACTGTGCCAATTTCAAAGTGCTGGTTCTGCTGCTTAATGTCTTATACATCTTGGGACCAGGATACCTGAAAGATTATATACCTGATTGATCACTGCACTCTGCAGATGAGAGCCTCCTTAAGTTACCATCTTATCAGGATGTCCTTTCTGCACAATATAGGAACCAGTCCTTCAGTTTCATTACACTTACCTTATGGAATGCCACCCCCTTGAATATTAGACAGGGGCCATCTGTTGTCTTTTTGGTGCCTGCTGATGACCTTCCTATTCCAAGAAGCCTGTTTTGCAGAGACCTTTGCCAGTCCACATCTACACTGCAATGGTTTTTAGATGTTCAAATTGTTTTATCGCTTGTGTGTTTGCCACGCTGTACTCCTTTGCGGAGAAGGATGGGGTATGAATTTAATATATTTTAATTAAGTAATATTGTTTTCAGGGTGCCACAGCAGGAAAGAGTAATCAGAGAAAACCAGTCACAGGAAATATGGATTTCCAAGCTCCTTGGTCTTGTTTTCAAGTTGGAATCAATGCAGTGGAAATAGTTCATTGTTCCATGTGTTGATGTCAGGGACCGTGCTGAGCAGGGCTACAATGAGCAGGACAGTATAGATTTAGAACAGTGGTTTGCAGAGGGGCATAGTTCAGAAGGCAAAGCTGGGAAATACTGAATGAAGAGCAGCTAGGAAAAGAAACACTGGAAGGGAGAGGGTTAACAGATTCAGTTGTTGGATAGCATCCCCCTTCCCCCCTCCCCACTGTTCTAGGAGAGCTGAGAAAGTTGCCAAACAGAAAGCACAGTGACTACAAGCTCAGGTCACCAGGTGTAGGGGGGACGTGGATTGAGAGGGATGTGGTGTGTAGCCTTAATGGGAAGCACTGCCATTCTTAGAGGGAGATGTTTGTTATCCCTCGCTGTGATTATTAAAGAATTTGAACTGGTAAGAAGACTCTGTTCACTTTGTTCTGCTTATCTACTGCGGGGGGGGGGGGGGAGGAAGCCGATTCTTTGAAGCCTGACAGCTGATTTCTGAATCTACTACAGAGCACTTGCCATGCGCAAGGTGCCACAGCTTGTTGTTCCTTCAGTTCACCCTCTACATTATGAAGCTGCATGTGTGCATTGAGGAATTGCTATATAAAAAGTAATCTCAATTTGATTCTGTGCAACATCACAGCACAATCTCTTCGTTCTGTGTTGTGTTTATCCACATCCACACTTGTGTGCATTGGTAAGATATATATTTAAAAACCCCAATGTGGCTGTTCAAAAGATTATATCAATATATTGTTATGCTGTGTTTCCTTTATGCATGTGTGCACTTGGATGCAATGGTTTTTTGTTTGTTTGTTTTTGCTTTAAAAACAACAACTAGATATGATTTGGTGCATGATTACATCAAGGTTCTTTCAGGGCTGTGTTTTACTTATACACCTGTGCATTTGTGTGCATAGATAAGGTCATCAACAAACAAACTTTATCTCTTTGTACATGCAGCTCTATCAAGATTCTCTGGTGTAGTGTTTTACCAGTGTGCAGGGGTACATGGGTTCTGGAGCTAAACTCTCCACAAAATGGAGCAGCGTGCTAACATACATGGTGTTATAGATGTGGGTAAAATTAATAAATATTAGGATTTTGTTTACTTGGAACATGGATTAAAGTGCAGAACTGTGCCAGACAGGGAATTCAGAAAATTCCTGTGCTGGCTTATGCAAACCAGCTTGGCCAAGCTAGGACCATTAAGGGAACAATGAAGGGCCATTGGCAAGGTGGGGTTACCAAGATAATGAGGTATATGTTTGAGGGGACAGGAAAAGGGAGCTGGGAAGCAAGGGGTTTTCTGGGAGGAAGAAGGAGGGAGCTGAACTGAGATCCATTTCTGGAGTGTGCAGGCTGCTTCCTCTTGGAATGACTATGCTGTGAGATCTAAACCCCCTCTATGCAGACTGAAGGTGTAAATAGGCGAATGAACATAAAACACTGTTTATTCACCCACTGTGTGGGTGCCTGGGGGCCCATGCACTCTTGCCACTGCTTGGCAGAGAGAGGGGCAAGCACCGGCTTTTGGTAACAATATGTATCCTGCATATGATAACATCACAATAGTTTTCCACAGTGTTTTGTCTCTGTGTATGTGTGCATCGATAGCATCTGGAAGGAGACATCTACATGAATGCAAGTAACAACAACATCTACCTTTGTAGTCCATGCTTCATCCTAAGGTCTCAGGCCGGAAGGGAAGGATGGAAGAGTCTTCCTCCTCCCTCATTTCTGCCCTGCTGGAGAGAACTTCACAGGGCATGAGGTGGTTCAACAGCCTTTCTCCTTCCCTCCACCAGTCTTTTCACCCAGGAGGACCCTATATTTATTAATTAAACCACTTTACTTCCCACGGTACACAAAGAACTATCCCGAAGCATGACATCATATTGCAGCCAGCTGTTTGGGCATAGCTGACACACAGCCCAATCTATTGCATCTTCACCCAGAAGTAAGTGAGTTCAGTGTGACTTATTTCATAGCAAATGTTCATAGCATTGCAGCCATAGCTACACAGAACCTATCTGTTTTAGGTGATCAGAATACTAACATCTCTATAAGACCACCTCGGAGGCTGCATGCATGTGGTGAATTTCACAATACTTTCTCTTGTCCTAATGAGGAATCCCAGGGACTAGTCTCACCTTTTAAGTTTGCAAGAACTTTGTGCATCCTCTGCACCCTTCCACCTAACATGTGCCCTATTGCACACATTGGTTGGTTTGAGAACTGCATCACAAAATCAGGAAAAGTGCAAATTTCGAAGGATAGCTGTGTTCCATTCAGTTCATGTGCTGGTTTGAGAAGTCCATATCAGGCAGTTTTTCATTAAAAGGCAAAAAACACTGAACTTCTCCCCCTCCACCCCTGTAAACAAAACTGCTAAAGCCATCACCTGCAGTTCTTCTAATGTTCACATCATTAGAAGAATAATGAAAGGCCAGATCAACTTTTAGAAAGCATTCAAAGGCCTGATCCTTTCTGATGAATAGCATCGCTTTTCTTAAAATGCAGCAGAGGAAAAATGAAGCTATAAACATATATCTCTCTGCCCCCCCCAACAACACAGTGTTCATTTGGTACAGTAGTTATTTTGGATTAATCATCCATTAGGCTCTTGTAATGTGATTCTGCTAGGGTGCTGCTGCTGTTGCAGCTGGGGTTTTGTACGGTCGTTGCTTTTTGGATACTGCATGGCAGATGCAGTTTTCAGGGAGCAATGTTTCCCCACAGAGCTAGTGATTTTAATTTACTAACAGTAATAGCGCGCGCACACACACACACACACACACACACACACAAACACAAACACACATCTTGCTCTTAGCCACTCACTTGTGCATTCATCGTCACATGTAGTTCAGGTTCCAAAAAGACTATCCTTGCAACCAGGAAACAAGTAGGCATGGAAAAGCTTGAAGACAGCAAATTGGTCCCTGGTTATCAAAAACCATCTATCAAAAACATGTCTGAAAAGTTAGGACAGCAGAGGGAGGTTCTACCAGCAACACGCAGGTGTAGCAGAGCACAGAAACTAGTTGTGTAGCTGGATCCAATGCAAATTTACTCAGCTGCAAGTTCCACAGGTTTTTTTAAGCACTCCTCAGTAAATGTGCTCTCAGGAGGGCAACATTCAGCCCTGACCTCTGCATGCTTACTTATAAGAAAAGCGGCACTAAATTCAATGAGACTGGTTTGCACTTATTTACTTATTTATTAAAAGTTGGACCCTGTTTTTCAGTTCACAATGAAAATCCAAATAGCTAAAAAATATTGTGGGAGATACACACATGGTGCAATTAAAATAGTCACAATATTAACAGAATCCACAGCAGCAGAGAAAAATCACAGAGGTGGCAGTAGCAATGTAGTAAAGAAAACGGACTTCCAAAGGCCTTATAGAACAGACCTGTTTTTATTCTGCAGTAGAAAAAACAGGAAAGGAAGAGACATAGATCAATGGCTCAGCATTTGTTTTGCCTATATGTATTAATTTATCTGACCAATAATCATTATTTCAAAGCTGCCCTTCAGTTATGTTCCCTGAGTGGTTTACAAATGACTAAAACAATTGCAATGTGTATTCTTTTTCATGAACCCCCATAATGGGACTATTGTATTCTTACTAACAGTGAACAGCTATAACCTCGTGAATTTGCTACACCACCTAATTTCTGTTACATAAGCTGGAGCACCAAGGGTGGCCTGAGACATTTTTGCACCTGAGACAAAATGTTCTATTGCTGTCCCCATGTGGGCAGATGTGAGGCTGTGTAAGGGCTTCCCCTCAAGTGTGTGTGTGTGTGTGTGTGTGTGTGTGTGTGTGTGTGTGTAACTCTGCAAGGGTATCTGTCATGCCCTCCCCTCTTGCTGAAACTTGGTGAGAGAGGATGTTCTGAAGTGCTTTGGCATCAGCTAGGGATGGGGGCAGGGGAGACATCTCCAGTGATAGCATTTCCACTGCCTGAGGCAGCTGCTTCACCCTGCCTCATCTGTGGGTCGGCTCTGCAACTCAGTGGAGAGCATGTGCTTTCTATGTAGAAGGTCCCAGGCATACGTGCAAGTTCCAGAAGACAGACACACTGTGGACCCCCTCAATTTTTTTAGCCCTCCCCAATTGTTGAAGCTAGGCTTGGAGTGACATCAGGACACCATGTGATGTCAGGACATCATGTCAGGGCCCCTCAATGTGCTTCAGAAGATGGCACCTCTGGACCCAGGTCTAATCCTCCAATCCTCTCCAGCTGGGGAAAACTCCTGTCTGTAAACTTGGGAGAACCACAGCTGGACATTCCTGAGTTAGATGAACCAATGATCAGACTCAGTATAAGGGAGCTTCCTGTGTTTCTATTGCAATTTCACCCCTTCAGCATTTTCAAGAGGATATCCTGGGATCCTCAGTGTCAAAGACTCCAAATGAATAAAGTCTCATATATAGATATAGATGATGTAGATTTATGGCTTTCATTTTCTTCAACTGAATATCCACTTGGCAGAGATGGCAACAGACTAGAAACAGAATTTGACAAGAGCCTCAGGCTTAAACAAAAATTATATCAGATACTTCAAAAGCAGCTGTTGTTTATAACTCATTCTTCTTTATTATCTGATTTCTTTTTTAAAAAAAATGATAGTATCCTAACCCTGATGCTTGAATTAACATTTTTAATGTTTCTTTGATACACAGGGTGGTATGAAGCCGATCAAAGCCATGAAGTTTTGAGTGAAGAGTCATGCCTTCTCCATGTCTGGCCTTCCCTCTTGAAGAAATGAGTGGAGGGCGACATCTGCTGGAGGATATAAGGCCTTTTGAAGCGAAGCGAAATTTAAACCCCTCACCCACCCACCAAGACAAGGGTTGCTGGAATGGGAATGTGCAATTCTTCAGCTAGAATCGCACTCTTCTACCTTAACTGTGGTTTTGTGTTATACCAGAATTAATGGCAACCACAGTCACTGCAAATGAGGCTTCCTCTTAACTATGGAAGCCTGAGATCCTGGATTCAAATCTTGGTTAAGAGGGAATCCCACTGGCAAAAGAAACTGGAGCCAAAGGAGGAGAGGGGAGGGCAGCCCTATGCCTCCCAAATATTATGTTGCGTGATTTGCTTTTAAAACTACCGCTCATTTGTTTTTAACTGCTCTTGGTTCTGCTTGTTGCTTTGTTTCCTACATTGCATTTTGTCTGGTTTATGTGTTGCCTTTTGGCTTCTTTTGTACTCTATCACACAAACCTTTCAAGTGTCCCTATTTCCCAGGGACAGTCCCAGATTTACAGAAGCTTTGCCGGTTTCTGATTTGATCCTAGAATGTCCCACTTTTCCTTTTAAAAAAACACAAACTCATTTATTCAAGTTACAATGCAGCTTGGTCCACTGACATAATAACACAGAATGATCACTCCAATCCTCAATTGGGTTTTTCTTAGGATTTCCCTAATTTCATAGGAGAAATGTTGGGGAGGATATGGAGTGATCTGACCCCCGAGCCATCTGAAGGCAGCGCAATGATTTCCTCCAATAAATATAGCCAGTGCTTTTTTTCCTAAAAAAATTGTTTAGGGGTACTCTCATTTTGACTCAGGAAAATCTCCAATTTATAGTTCAAATTGGGGAAAATAAATACAGTAAATGGACAAAAGTAAAAAGATTCACAAAACGTTTAGGGGGGGTGTACCCCTGCATATCCCCAGAAAAAAGCACTGATTATAGCAGTAATAAATGGTGTCCAAAAGCTGGGTGGGTATGAAGCTAAGACACACACACCTCACACCAAATTCATTCTGAGGTTACTGATTGAAAACGTTCAGTTGGATTATATTCAGATATCAAGCTTTGCAAGTTATCGTGTGCTGAAATGCTTGTTGCTCAGAGCTGCCAGCAAAGCAGGGAAGGCTGAATTTCACAATAAGCTGCTTGAAAGTTGAATGCATGCTGAATTGCTGAATGGGCTTAGCTAAATTAGAAAAAATACAGGAAGAAATGGGAGAAGCGATACCAGGCAAGCCAAGAATGAAGGCAAAAGGTCTTGTTTATGGAAATCTACTAAATTGGTCTAAAGCACTGGCATTAAGAGCTAATGCCAGTGTAGAAATACGTTGAGCAAATTGGAAAAAGCCCACATTTTGATGGAACGTTTCAGTTCACATTTTGTTTTAGAAAGTGGCAGATCAGGTAGGTTCACCTTAAATCATGAACCAAACCAAATCCCCGCCCATCCCATCTCCCAGTGCTATTTTCCTAGAAAAAGAGGGAGCTCACCATGAACACCTCCCTCTCTTAAAATATTCTCTTAGATTCTCTAATATTCTCTCAGAATAGCAATGGCACCCACCTGAGAGTTGCCGGAACTGAGAAAAAAGTTCTGTCTAATTCTCACTCCTGTTTGTGCAGGGAATGAGGATCAACAGAACAACCAGAAAAAGACTAAGAAAAGCTTCAGCATCACTCTTTCACAACTCAGTTGTGAATTTTAGAGGTAGAGGAGAAACCTCCAGGTTAGGATCTGGTACTTCTCTAGGCAGGTATAGGAACAGCAAACCTAGACAGCATCTTAAAAAAGCAGAGACATCACCTTGCCAACAAAGGACCGTATAGTTAAAGCTATGGTTTTCCCAGTAGTGATGTATGGAAGTGAGAGCTGGGCCATAAAGAAGGCTGATCGCCGAAGAATTGATGCTTTTGAATTATGGTGTTGGAGGAGACTCTTGAGAGTCCCACGGACTGCAAGAAGATCAAAGCTATCCATTCTTAAGGAAATCAGCCCTGAGTGCTCACTGGAAGGACAGATCCTGAAGCTGAGGCTCCAATACTTTGGCCACCTCATGAGAAGAGAAGACTCCCTGGAAAAGACCCTGATGTTGGGAAAGATGGAGGGCACAAGGAGAAGGGGACGACAGAGGACGAGATGGTTGGATAGTGTTCTCGAAGCTACCAGCATGAGTTTGACCAAACTGCGGGAGGCAGTGGAAGACAGGAGTGCCTGGCGTGCTCTGGTCCTTGGGGTCACGAAGAATCGGACACGACTAAACGACTAAACAACAACATACCAGACTAAGGTATTCTTCTTGCCCTGTGCCTAGAAAACATGAGTCAAAGCGCTTTTCTGCTCACCCTGGCTTTCTAGAAACAGGTCTGAGGCATTTTGTGTTTGCCCCGCAGGTTTTCTCTGGAAAGCATGCTCTTTGCCACTGATTTGAAACTTACAACAATCCGTGTAAGAACCAATTGTCATTTGGTTCAATTCAGCTGCCAGCTGTGGGTTTTTCTGGGGGCGAGTGGTGGCGATGCACATTAAACTTCAGCTTTCCACAACACAGGAGCCTCTTCTTCACTCCCTAGCTGCCTCCAACCCACGTTCACAGCAGACAATGATTCTTCACTGGGGTTACCAGTCATAACTTCTGCTGTACCTTGGTACAGGCTATCGTGGAGAAAAAGTTGCTGAAAGTGAGGGTTTTTCAAAATCACCACCATACGGGAAATGAATCAGAACGGAATTCCCAGTCAATATATGTGAAAGGGACATTATTTCAATCAAGATCGTTCCATCTGGCCATAAGAAGATAGATAATGGAATATTCTAAAGTGAGCAAAATCTGACAATTGTACAAATTATTTAATTTACCCAAATGTAAAATGGTGTTTCTCCTTGTTTTGGACCTGGTTGCACTCTTGCAGCAAAAGCAGATAAGTCATATTACAGTGGGTTGAATCCTGTGCTATTTTTCTAGAAAAAGAGGTGCTGGAACTCACAATGGCACCTACCCGAGAGGTGCCGGAACTGAGTTCTGGAAAGAGTTCTGGCTGAAAAATTTGCCTAATTGAATCTGAAGAAAACCATGCTTACAGTAGGCCTATTGAAATCGGTGGAAATGGCACACTTAAGTCCATTGATTCAGTGGGTCTTCTCTGAGTTTGACTTGGAATCAGCCCAATATTCTGAAGACAGATATGCATGACTTAGAAAACGGTCTTCGTTTTTGGATGCTGCCGATGTAATTTAATTTTGATTTATGAAAACAGAAATGAATGGATGAAAAAGATAGGATAATAAAAAGCAAGACAAATTAGTTAATTCCATGCCATTCTCCACTCCCCAACATCTGACCACATAACTATTCTGTCTATGAAATAATGCATAGGGGTGACTGAGTTCAGTGCATATTAAAGTAAGAAATCAAGATAGCAGATTACACTGAGCTACAATAGTAGAATAAAGTGAAGGTGTTATACCATCAAAGAGAGTCATTTGGAGTGGAACAATAGTCTAGAATGGCATTAAACTTCCCTCTAATATCAGATTGGCTCTTCACATGATGTACAGTCTTGGCTTGTTAAATATGAATAGAAGAGAGCCTGAATAAAGGGAGATGTCATGAATTGGTAATATCTGCTTTTGTTCCGTCGCCAGAGAAGTTCTATTTGCCATATATATCAGTCCGCTGGAGGAGACCTCAGGAATATTCACTATATAAGCCAGTGCAAATTTAATAAGAATAACATTTCCATGTATTTCTTCTCTTCTAAACAACAGTATTCAGTTCGATCCTACTTAATATGTATTCATTTTCATATGCTAACATCAATCTTTGCAGCACAGTGTGAAGATGAAAGAAGCAAAATTAGCTGGGTGGCTTCTGCTCCTGAAACAGTTTGATGCATAAGATGCCTTCTGAATCCAGAGTACTGTATCATTCAAATGTTACCACAGAAATGTAAGGTGCTGGTGGATATGAGAAGTGACCAATGGGCCAAAAAGGCAATTTATTTTCAATCTCTCTCTCTCCAAATAAGGCATTAACAGAGAGTAACCAAGGTCATAGCTGCACATTGAAGGGACTAGTTCCCAGAAAATCATAGAACTGTAGAGTTGGAAGGGACCATAAGGGTCATCTAGTACAACCCTCTGCAGTGAAGGAATCTTTTGCCCAAAGCCACCACCTTGAAATTAAGAATCTCATGCTCCACTAACTGAGCTTTAACAGTCATCACCTCCCCCAAAGAATCATGGGAATTGTAGTTCAGATGCTGAGAGCTGTTAGGAGATCCTTATTCTCCTCAGGGAGTTACATTTCCCAGAGTTCCCTGTGCAGAGGGACTGGCTTTTAAACCATTCTGCAAAGTGATTCTCCTGAACTATTCTGTCCAACTACTACTCCTTGATTGCATTTAGATCTCACCATTCTTCCCTGACAGTTAAAAGTTCTCTCTATCATGCCAGTAAGGTCAAAGGAGAGGAGCTAGACAAAGAATGATCCAAGAAGTCCTCAACAGCAGAACAGGCAGAAGATAACAAGTGGTATGTTACAATGGCTGTGAAGGTGGATGACGGCTGCAGCAGGTAAGAATCTACCAGTCATCATTATACTTATGCCATCGGAATAGAGCCTTACTGCGAAGACTGTGTGTTGGTCAGCATACACTGATCTACACACATAAAACAAATTCATGCACAGACGTCTTCCAAAAACCCAACCCAAACCCAAACCCCCAAAGTCCCATGGCTACAAGTTAAGTTGTAGGAGACACCTTCCTCTTTTTCTGCGGTTGAATTTGCATATAGTGCTCAATACACCTGTTTAAAAAGGAGCAGATTTTTACATACCACTGGGCTCCTGAGTATTTCAACTCTGGGATCAATTGTCCTAGGGAGGGGGGAAGGTGGTGTATCCTGTTTATTTTTATTCCACTTACATATTGCAAATCAAAGAAGCGCATAAGCAATTTACAACATTGTAAAAATAGTCCCTAAATGACTAAACAACAACAACGTCCATGTTTTTAGCATGGCACAGAACAATTGAATGGGATAGCCTCTTAAAATGTCCATATGAACTAAAACAACAAAGTTTATACTGTATTGTGAATCTCTAGGGACCTGTTCTCTGCCTCGCAAGCCATTTCCATGTGGCCTAGGAGGTTGGGGGCCCTAACTGATTGCAGTTACAAAAACTGAGGCAGCTGATCAGACGTTTGCATTGTTTAGCTGCTTTCGCGTTTTGTTATTATTGCCCCCAGTTGTCTAAAATATTTTAAATGGTTTTAAATTGTTTCTAACTTGGATGTCTTTAAATGTGGATTATTATTATTTTTTTTGGGGGGGGGGATATGCCTAAGAAGAGAGAAGCTGGAGAGAG